GGGGTAGGATGGGATAAAGAAAAGAACTTTTCTTGGGTTGCTTTCTCTGAGCGTAACTTTCGCATGGCCTCCTCTGCTGTCTTTTCATCAGTGATGTAACCGTTGAGTCATAGAAAGCCTCCTTTTCTAGAGAATGTCGTCAAAGAGGGATACCCTTCCCCTGTCACCCCCAGCCTCGCCTCCAGCGCGTCTGGCATCTGAACTCAGAGGCTCAACCAAGAAAGCACCTTCCCTGGAGGCCCAGGCTCTTCATTATTGTCCCATCTACAAGAGCCTCGAGAGGGGGCTCTGTGTCCCCTTGAAGATCCTGGCCAAAGAATGAATCATAAAATCCTCTTGCAGGGCGCTGTGGTGGTGCCGCAGATTAAGCCGCTGCTTGCAACGCCACAGGCATCCCATAATGGGCACCAGTTTGAGTCCCAGCAGCTTCACTTCCAATCCAGCTCTCTGCTAATGTGCCTGGGAAGGCAACGGAAGGTGGCCCAAGTCCTCGGGCCCCTACCACTTATATGGGAGGCCAAGATGGAGTTCTGGGTTTCTGGTTTGGCCTGGCCTAACCCTGGCTGTTGTGGCTATTTGGGGAGTAAACCAGCAGATAGAAGATCACTCTCTCTCTCTCTCTCCCTCTCTCTCTGTTGCTCTCCCTTTCTTTTTTTTACTTTCTGGATAGTAAATCAATATTTACTTAAGTATGTGTGTGATGAATAATTTTTTTAAAAGATTTATTTATTTATTTAAAAGGCAGAGTTACAGAGAGGCAGAGGCAGAGAGGGGTCTTCCATCTGCTGGTTCATTCCCCAAATGGCTGCAATGGCTGGAGCTGCGCTGATCTGAAGCCAGGAGCCAGGAGCTTCCTCATGGTGCAGGGGCCCAAGGACTTGGCCCATCTTTACTGCTTTCCCAGGCCGTAGCAGAGAGTTGGATCGGAAGTGGAGCAGCCAGGACTCGAACCGGTGCCCATATGGGATGCTGGCACTGCAGGCAATGGCTTTACTCACTGTGCCACAGCGCCAGCCCCTGTTGCTCTACCTTTCAAGCAAATTTATTTATTTCTTTAAAAATGAAATAAAGTAAAATCCTTCTTGAGATTGCTGGGAGTCTTGCTGAGGTCATACCGGCCCTTTCACAAGGTTTTACTTTAGTTCAGGAAAGACAAAGGGAAAACACTGAACCCGAGGTGTGATCCAAGGTGAGGGTGGGATCTCTGCAGTGCTTGGCTGAGTGTGTGTGTGTGGATTTCCACGCCTCTCTTCTGGAAACTCATGTGCAAAGTCTGTTTGGGGTCGCTTTTCATAAGCAGTGCAGGCAATTTGTGATTTGGAGCGCAGTTGAAACCGCTCAAGTAGCTGTGTTTTAGAACATTCTTAGGGTCTTAAAACCCCTTCCTATATTCCTGCTGCTTCCACTCTGCCGCCTGGGTGCCTGGGTCTGATCTTTGATCTTTGGTTCCCAAGGTCACTCCTTCCCACCCTCCAGAGATTTTAAGGAATTCCTGGGGTTTTTATTTTGTTTTGTTAGAATGCAGATTCCTACCAAGTTGTCCGTAGATAGGAGTGAGAAGCTTTGGTGTTCTGTTGCACAGTCAGATGTCTCTAAGTAGTAAAAATGGACTGTATGTTTCTTTTTTTAAGAAAAGGCTAGAAGAAAGAATTTTCAATGTTTTCACCATAAAGAAATGTTAAATGTTTGATGAGATAGATATGTTTTCCATGACATGAATGTTATACAAGTATGAAAACTCTGCATGGTGCCCTATACGTATGTACAGTTTTAGTGGGTCAGTTCCAAATGTAAAAAATACAGATCCTTGAGCCCCATACAAGGACATTCTGACTTAGTAGGTCTAGGGCAGGGCCCCAAAATACGTGTTTTTTAAACTTTAAGGCATTCTAATGTTAAGTAGTCTCTGGACCAAAGTGAAAATGTTGGTCATAGCAAGGGAAAGAGGGAGAGAGAGAGAGAGAGAGAGAGAGGAGAGAGACTCAGGATTATGACTGGGTCATTTCTGCCCTGTGGCCAGCTCTTCTCTCACAATGACCAGGAGTGACCAGGCCTCTCCTTGTGGGTCGTCTGACCCAGCACACCCTTGATGGGGATAATTAGATCTACTATGGTGCAGTCCCCTGTGGTCCCAGAAGGGGAACTCACTCAGGGCTGAGCTTGTGTTTTATTTTCCCCCTGGTGGGGTGCCCACCCCTTGCTTTGGGCAATGGAGTTGAGTTGAACAGTCTGAGGGGGCCATCTGGACTACAGTTTGATTCAGAAAGCACACAGAAGCTCACCGTTCCTCTGGGGTGGAACTGGGAAACGCGGGGAAGGACTGGCAGCCTTCCAGGGAGAACTTCTGCTCCCCCTTCCTCTGCCCCCCACCCCCCTGTTCATTCTCCTTGCTGGCTGGGAACGGGGACTGCTGCTGGTCAGCCATATGGGGCTGGTGGAACCAGGGCTTCCGGCTTGAGCACTGGGATCTCTTGCAGGGCTTGCTCAAGCACACATTGCCAGCACCTGTCTCATAGCTTCTGCTGCAGTGTTGGGGGTGGGGGCAGGAATGTGCATTTCTGACAAGCTCCCAGGAGGTGCTGATGGGCCTCAGAGCACCTTCCACAACCCCCTGAGTCCCCGCAGCTGCTCAGCTTCCCCAGTGTGGCTCAGCCTGCTCAGAACCCAGTTCCCTGGGCCTTTTCCAGGGTCATGAGGTTGCTGGTGCATGTCTTGCTCCCCATCCTTCTGGTTAATTTCCTGCTGTTTGCTGTGGGTTTTGCTCTTCTTATTCATCCCAACAGAGAGCAACTGTTGCACCTGCAGCTGAGCTGGTTTGCTTCATTGCTTGCCTCGTGTGTGGCAGGCAAGGAGAGACACATGAGGGATCAGACAGGACAGGAAGCTGTTTGCTTCTCCCTGCCCGCCCCCTTTTTAGGAATGTGGTTCTTACTTCAGGAATGGAATTCCCAAGTGTCTGGTGTGTGGCATGAAGGCTCCTCAGGTATCCTTGCTGGGTGAGCCTTAAAGGCATCATGGCCGCCGGCCTGGAAGCTCTCGTGACACGGGGTTTGCTGGCCCGCCCTGGCCCCGTGATGCTCAGGAGGCTGCACTGAGCCCAGCTTTTTGCATCCTTGGAGTAACCTGCAGGGAGAGGCTGGGCAGGAGGAAATGATTCGGTGGCCTGTGCTGGGGCAATCTGGATTTAGGGTGTTAGCTTTGGGCAGATGTAGAGTAATTAAGATCAAGAACTCTGGAGCTGCAGGATCTGCCTTCAAACTCAGCCCCAGCACTTCATGGCTATGTCGTAGTAGGAGTGGTAAGGCAAATTCTTTCTCATTTTGCTTGTAAATTTGACCTTCACTTAACTTTGTATCTCATTGCTCTGGGAGTCTGATAAAGGGAGTGTTTCAACTACATCTGGGCAAACTTGCATATGCTAAAAATGACCTCTTGTGATAAGAGTAGACACAGAGATCTAATCATATCTGGTAGGGAGCCATTATTCATGCTTTCCGGAGAACAGTGATACTTTTCACCTGTGTGTCCTTTATGGGGACATTGGAAACTGCCCGTGTTCCAAGTGATAGTGACTCCTCTGAGAGGAGCCACCTTTCCTGGCACCTCAGCCATCACCTTGAGGGCCAAAGAGAACAGCTTCTGCATGCTCGGTGGACAGAGCTTCTCTGGGCTGGTTCCACTACAGAGCAGCTCCAGAGGCTGTCCGACCTGCTAGCTATGTGTCCTGTCTTTGACCCGCCTAAGTACACCCATTGTCAAGTGTGCTGACAGCCTTAATGTTTAGTTAAAGCTAAAAAGACTCCTGGTGGGAGTCGTGGAGGGACTAGATTTGTTTGGTTAACTCTGTGTGCCTTTTCTTCATGTCTGAGATGGGGAGGATAATACTCCCTGCCTTTGCAAGTGTTATAAAGATGGAAGGGAGGCCGGCACCGCAGCTCACTAGGCTAATCCTTCGCCTAGTGGCGCCGGCACACCGAGTTCTAGTCCAGGTCGGGGCGCCAGATTCTGTCCCAGTTGCCCCTCTTCCAGGTCAGCTCTCTGCTGTGGCCAGGGAGTGCAGTGGAGGATGGCCCAAGTGCTTGGGCCCTGAACCCCATGGGAGACCAGGATAAGTACCTGGCTCCTGCCATGGGATCAGCGTGGTGCGCCCGCCGCAGCGCACCAGCCGCGGCGGCCATTGGAGGGTGAACCAACGGCAAAGGAAGACCTTTCTCTCTGCCTCTCTCTCTCACTGTCCACTCAGCCTGTCAAAAAAATAAATAAAAATAAATAAATAAAAAGATGGAAGGGACTTAGAATAGTGTCCAGTGCCCACGTATGTGCTGCTGCCACTGTCCTTGGTTTTCTTGCAGGGAGACCAGGAGTTACTTTCTCTTCGGGATCAGTTCCAGTCTCAGCTCCTAACACAGTGTATGGCTTTGGACAAATGGCCTCATTCTTGAAGGACACATTCTTGATGTAGCCTTTGTTTGTTGAATGAATTGATGAAGTAGCTCTTGAAGGCGTCTTCTGGTTTCACTTGATAGATTTTGTGTGACATCGAATCAGAGAAGAAAGTTGTAGGAGGAAGAGGAAACTGCCAGCCTTCGGGGTCACCCCTGAGGTCTAGAGCAGCTTAGAGAGGGACAGGGTTGTCAGGAGCAGGTGGAGGGTGTCTGTTAGACCTGCTGACCCCATATGTCTGGTCAACGCCTGGGACAGGAGCATGGCTACTCCTGATCTGAGAGTCCCAAGAGCACCGTACAGAGCCTGTGTCCAGGGGCAAGAAAATCATTTTAACCAAGAAAAGGTTAAGATGATTACTTTTGGCTGCTTTGAAGTATTTCTTTGAGAAAAACTACAGGTAGCCTCATCTCTATTTGGATTTTTCTCCTCTGATGACACCACTCAGGGTGGCAAAGGGGATGAAGATTTCTGACCTCCCTAATGGCTGGGGGGTGAGGTTAGCTATGGCCCCAGGAGAAGGCTGGCCCTAATCTGTTTCTCCCTCCTCCCTGCAGGTCTGAATGCTGGTGCTTTTTATGCCTTGTCCACTCTGCTGAATCGTATGGTGATCTTGCACTACCCGGTAAGGGAGCTCCCTGAGCATGCTCGGCCTGGTTCTGCCACTTCTCACCCCGTCTCAGCGGGAGCTGGGCCTCAGCTCCTGGTTCCCTGCAGTTCTGGGCAGTGAGGTGTGGTGGAATGCTGGTGGGACTTGGAGGGGGGTGCCCTGGGACTCAGCCCCAGCTGGGACAGTGCTAAACTGTGTGATGGGGTGACTGTGTGACAAGCTAGTTAGCATCTCTCAGCTCTCTCTTTCCTGCAGAAGGAAGCATGATAATTTCTTGCAGGATTATTTTTAGGGTTGGAGAATAAATAATATCATGTATGACTATGTCTACACAAGGGTACTTCAAAAAGTTAGTGGAAAAATGGAGTGAAATTAAGTATGAGTTTATTTTGGTACAAAATTTTTTTGCATAATATACAGAAAATGTATATTTTGAAAAAGCTGTGCATGGATTTCAAACATTTTTTGCACCAAAATCATGCTTTCAATTGTATTTTTCCATGAATTTTTGGGAAGACCCTCATATATTAAAATCTTATTTATTACATATGATATGTATAAAATATAGAGCACAGGGCTAGGCAGTGCTGCTAGTCAATACGTAGATTTACAGCATTTATATATAGATAATTCCAGGTGAAATATCTAACGAGTGTGTGTGTGTATATATATATATAATTCCAGATGGAATATCTAACTTGTGTTTGTGTGTGTGTATATATAAAATTCCAGATGAAATATCTAACTTGTAAAATAAGGGTAAGATTTTATTTGACCTCAGTTGCATAAATGAACGCTTTTTGTAGAAGTTACCAGAAGCTGTATGCTGGGGATGGGACACCGAGTGTCTCAGAATTAGGAGTGCAAAGGTCCCCTGTGTTTCCAAAGGACTAGGCTCTCAGCCTCGCAGAGCTGGTAGGGCCGTCATGGTTAAGTCTTCCAGTTTTGGAGGTGGACAGGTCTGACTTCAAATCCTACGTCTGTATATAATCTACGCCTCATGACCTTGGGCCAGCAGGCCAGCCTCACTGGGCCTCAGTTTCTTTATCTGTAAAATGGGGAAGATGGAGCCCTGACCTTATGGTGGGGGATTGTGAGAACTGATGAGATAATGAGATAATGATGTAAGCTCTTAGGCCTGGTGCCTGGCTTATTATAAGTGCTCAACAGTAGGTATCTTCCTGTTTCTTTTGGTACTTATAGCTCACAAAGCCTACAACTGGACTACTTGGGCATAGGTATGTCAGTTCACCCATTGGTCAGACGGGAATAATAATGAATGAGATGGAGGAGTTGCTATAAGGATTACATTAACAAAAGTCGGCCTGAGCGTGTCACTGCAGCCTCCAGGATCATCCACACACATCTAGGGCTGTGGTGCTGGGAGAAGAAGCTGCGACTTTAGGATTTTCTGCCCTCTGGCGCCTCCTTCCAGGCCATCTCGTCCTGACTCTGCATCCTGGCTGCAGTGGAGCCCACGGTTCTGTGCCTGTGCCCCTTCACCCATGGTGACTGCTGTGTCCCGGGTCTTGTCCCCTCACTGGGTGATCTTTGTGCTGTGCCTCCAGGGGGAAGAAGTGAACGCTGGAAGAATCGGCCTGACCATCGTTATTGCAGGGATGCTCGGGGCTGTGATCTCAGGCGTCTGGCTGGACAGGTCCAAAACCTACAAGTGAGTGGACTGGGACCCGGGGACCCCTGATGGACGTGACAGACTCCTTAGCAATGTGACTGCAAGGCTTTGGGCTCCCCACCAGGGGCTCTGTGGCCTAGTAGGCACCTGAGATTTCTCATCATTGAGCCTAGCTTGTTCCCTCATTTTTGAAGCTAGGGAAACTCTCCTGGCCCTGTGGGAATGGTAGGAAGATGAGAGAGAGAGTGGACAGAAGGCCTAGCTCAGTCCTTTCCCCACCCCCGTTCTCAAGTAGCTTTGAGGAAGGAGCAAACGTGGGAGAAATGAAATGAGGTGAGAAAAATCTTAGCCTTGGAAAGCCCAAAGATGGAGAGGAAGAAGTGACTCCACCACTCTGTTCTGGGGCCCCCTGTGGACTCCCTGGCGTTAATGGAGGTGCTGGGTGCTTGCTCCAGTTTGCAGAGTTTCAGGGCACTTCAAAAAGTTCATGGAAAATGGAACTAAAAGGTAAGTTTATTCCGGTGCAAAAAAATGAGGACCCATGCATATTTTTATAATATTCAGTTTTCCAAACCTTTAAAAGTTAATGAATTTATGTGAAAGCAGAGTGGCAGAGAGGGAGGGAGAGATGAGGAGAGAGACAGACACCTTCTGTCTGCTGGTTCACTCCCCAGATGCCCACAACACTGCGGGCCAAAGTCAGGAGCAAGACACTCCAACTGGGCCTCCCCTTGGGTAGCAGGAATTCAAGTACTTAGGCCATCCACTGCTGCTTTCTAAGCACATTAGCAGGGAGCTGGATCAAAAGTAGAGTAGCTGGGACTCAAACTGGCACTCCGATATGGGACACCAGCATCGCAAGCAGGGGACTTAACTGGCTGTACCACAAGACCTGCCCCTCACAGACTTTTTGAAGATCATCTTGTATTCATTGGTTTCTTTTTTTTTTTTCCATTGGTTTCAAAAGAATTTGCACCCAAACTTCCCTTTTTAACTCCAGTTTCCATGCCAGTTTTGAAGTACACTCAGAAATTATCTTACTTGCTTTACTTGTACTTTGTTGGTAAGTTTTGTGACACGCTTTGGACCTGAATACCCAGTGCATTTCCAAGAGCCCAGTGCCATCTCAAAAGGTGTTAGCGGAGATGAATGTTTGCTGTAGCGGTTAAGACACTGCTTGGGATGCCTGCAGCCCATACTGGAGTGCTGGGTTCAGGTCCTGGCTCCGTTTCTGATTCCCACTTCCTGCTAATGAGGATCCTGGGAGGTCACAGTGATGGCTTAAGTGATTGAGTACCTTCCATCCACATGGGAGACCTGATTGAGTTTATGGCTTCTGGCTTTGGCCTGGCCCAGCTCTGGGTGTTGCAGGCATTTCGGGAGCGAACCAGTGGATGGGAGATCTGTCTAACTGTCTCACTGTTTCTATCTCAAAAAAAAAAAAAAAATAATAATAATAAAGAAATAAATAAAGGATGAGCTTTAGGAAAAAAAGTAAAAGGTCTTAGCAAATATCAGCTAATCCAGGATGCTAATTAAAAATAAGGATCCCTGGGCCCCGCCTCCATGGATGCGAATTCATTAGAGAAATCTGCACGTGTAACAAGCAGCCTTAGGGGCCCACTGTGGTATAGCAGGTAAAGCTGCTACCTGTGACGCTGGCATCCCATTTGGGTACCAGTTCATGTCCTGGCTGCTCTACTTCCAATCCAGCTCCCTGCTAATGGCCTGGGAAAAGTAGCTGAGGAATGCCCAAGTGGGCTTGGATGAAGCTCCTGGCTCCTGGTTTCAGCTTGGCCCAGTCCTGGCTGTTGCAGCCACTGGGGAGTGAAACAATGGATGGAAAATAACTTTCTCTTTTTGCCTCTCCTTCTCTCTCTCTGGAACTCTGGTTTTCAAATAAATAAATGAATCTTAAAAAAAAAACAAAAAAGGCAACCGTAGGCAGCCTTGGAGATACTGCATCCTCCTGGTGCTGTGACTGCCCAGTGCTCCTTGGCCGGTGGGCAGCTGCCAGGACTGCCCTGCGCTGGGGCAGGGCGGCGTTCTGGGCTGCTTTGTCAAGGCCTCCAAAGTTCCCAGTGTCTGGGGATGACAGACAGTGGCAGACCTGTTCTCTGCCACACAAACACGCTTCTGTGAGGCTCTGGGTGACCAGGTCTCACTCTGGAGCCCTCGTCAAAGGCTGATTGAGGCCATGCCTAGGGGCGTGGCTGCCTGGCTCGGCTTAATGACCGCTGGTGGAGCTTGGCTGCCATCTCGTCTCTGCCATCTGTTAGTAGCTTGCTTCGGGCAGACACAAGGGCAATAAGGACTGGCCACCCCGAAGCAGCAAGTGGCACTGTTCCTTCTTCCAGCGCTGGCCTTGTGGCAGGAGAAGGGAGGGATTGGAATGTTGGCTGGGCCGAGGCGTGGGCAACCAGCTGACTCATTGAATATGTAATGAAAGGATGGGGAGAATACGTCTTTGGCCCTCTTGGGAGCTCAGCATCACCAGTTCCTAACGTCATTTGATGTGTAGCTCCAGTGGTCAGCATGAGACAGTCTTGTCCCTGTTCTGGCCAGGCTGGGAAGGGCCAGCCCTCAGTGGGCTGATGGCATTGTGTGCCTCTGTCATTTCCATGCCCTGTCTCCCAAAGGCCCTTGTGTGTGTCCAGTTTACTTTGGAGGCTGGAAATTGGGTGGAGAGTTCCCTTTAATTTCTGGATGGGACAACAGTAGTTGTCCTCAACTGGCCAGTGGTTTAAGCAGACTCTGTAGTTGAACAAGCATGGCCTCAAATAACGTTTGATATCTGGTGAGCTTGCTGGACCACTGGGAAAAGCCGGCATATACTAAAGTTACTTTCTGCAGGGTGGGTGGGAGGGGAGCAGGTGAGGCAGAGGAGAAGCTCCTCTTGCCTTGACACCTGCTTGGAAGCACCGGGTGGGAGCGTGCCCTTCGGAGACTGTGATCTTGAGTTTTTCCAGATGGGTAACTGCCTAGTATGTCATTCCTGTGCATAGCAGGAGAGAGAGCACAGCCTTCAAGCTCAGCTCCGGGTTCCAGTCCCAGCTTTGCATTTATCTGTCAGTGACTGTGGACAGGGGACTTAAGTGGCCTGAGCCTCGGTTCCCTCATTGATAAAAGCAGGGATAGCCATCTCTTTCTTGCCAGATTTTTATGAGGGTTGAGTTGAAATGATAAACGTATGTAAAGCACTTAATGGAATTTGGCACCCAGTAATGTAGGTATTAGTTTGGCATAACTGTGGTGTGCTGCTGGAGCCCCACTGTGTTTCTGGATACAGGGGAGATGTGTGAAGGTTCTTAACCTGGTGTTCAGAAGGTTGTGCACGGACTGGTGCTGTGGCATAGTGGGCTAAGCCTCAGCCTGTGACGCCAGCATCCCATATGGATGCCGGTTCAAGTCCCAGCTGCTCCACTTCCGATCCAGCTCTCTACTATGGCTTGGGAAAGCAGGGGAGGATGGCCCAAGTGCTTGGACCTCTGCACCCATGTGGGAGACCTGAAAGAAGCTCCTGGCTCCTGGCTTCGGATCGGCGCAGCTCTGGCCATTGCGGACATTTGGGGAGTAATGCAGTGGATGGAAGATCTATTTCTCTGTCTCTGTCTGTCTGTCTCTCTCTCTGTAACTCTACCTCTCAAATAAATAAATAAATAAAATAAAATAAAAAACAAGAAGAATGTGCAGAGCCTGCACCCTGCAGTAATGGTCTACGTGTGGGAGTTGAGGCCGCAGCAGAGTCCTGGGTTGGCACCACAGGGAGACAGCTGTGTGCAGCGGCACCACAGGGCTGAGCCTCAATTAGAAACCAGAACTTGCTGATGGTACTTCTGAGGGGACTGACACAGGAGAGGTAACAGAGTGTGGATTTCTGGCCTTGGCTTTGCATTCAGGCCCTTAGTTCAAGGCTAGAGAACATTCTCTTAGTCCTTTTTATTAAAATTTTTTTTATCTATTTATTTGAAAGAATCATTGAGACAGAGAGAGGTCTTCCATCCACTGGTTCACTCCCCAAGTGGGTACAAAAGCCAGTTCTGAGCCAGGCTTAAACCAGGAGCCAGGAACTCCATCTGGGTCTCCCACGTGGGTGACAGGAGCCCAAGTATGTGGCCATGATTCACTGCCTTCCCCGGCACATTAGCAGGGAACTGGACCGGAAGTGGAGCAGCTGGAACTCATATTGGCACTCTGATATGAGATGCTAGTGTTGCCAGCTGCAGCTTAACCTGCTGCGCCATAGCGCTGGTCCCCTCTGTTTCTCCATCTGGACTGAGTCATTCGGGCCCAGCAGGAACAGCTGGGCTGGGCCTGTGCAGGAGGCAACAGGAAGAACGTACAGGTGACAGCGTCTGAAAGTCAGATCACTGTCCAGCATTGCCTGGGGGTCTTGGGACAAAGCACACAAGCAGAACTGGGGGCTTCGGGGGTAGTCTTGAATGTCACTCCACCTGACTATGGCCAGTGTTTGTCCTGTGTTTGTTTGTTTTTCCCTTTCCTCTGGTCCGGGGCAGGGAAGGGAAGGGCTGTGCCCTTCTTGCCTGTGGAAGGATGTGACAAGTCCAGGGTGGCTTGCTCTGCTGCTGGGAGGGTTCTGCAGGAAGAGAACTGGGCTTCGCAGCTGCCTGGCCTCACCCTCTGTAGCGTCGATGATGATATAATTAAAAAGCTATGTGTGATCATAGGTGCAGTGTCCATCACTCTCGTGGAAGAAAGTTCTGTGACAGCACATGGCCCATCCCCACAGAGAGGTTCAAGACAGTGGGTACCCGGTACATACTTATGGAAAGCATAAATGATCCCTCCTTGTAAAGTCGGAAGCATCAAGCTCTTTGCCTCTGCCCCTAGGGAGACGACCCTGGTGGTGTACATCATGACTCTGGTGGGCATGGTGGTGTACACTCTGACCTTGAACCTGGGACACCTGTGGATAGTCTTCATCACTGCTGGCACAATGGGGTAAGTTCCACTTCTGACCCGTTCAGTTGGAAAACACCACCCCATGGTTCCCGGAGCTGCCAGTGTTCCTGGATGCAACACCCTTTGGCAGCCTTCGCACTGGCCTCAGAAGATGTGGGAGTGGCACCCAGGGGCTTGTGAATCCTCACAGCACTTCTGAAGGCAGCCTGGCTGTGCTATGGGGATGGAGGGAAGTGTGGAGCACACCCTGCTTCCAAACGCTCTGTCTCTTTTAGCTCTGCCCAGGACAAGCTGGGGTCACAAAAAATACACAGGGCTTAGGGTCAGAAACTCTGGGTTTCACCGCTGACTACTTGTTAGACCACAGGCACTCACTGACCGCTGACCTTCAGTTCCTCATCCGTAAGTGAGGATGAGAGTGGTCTGCCTCGTGGAGTTGTTGAGGGGCAAAGAATGGATGTCAAAGCAGTAAGAAGTGTGGCATGGCTGTAAGGAATTAGAATTGGAATTTTCTAGGCCCGTGGGATGAGAAACCACAAGAGGTCTCTGACGAGCTTCATCTTCCAGGTATTCTCCTGTGGCCAGGGAAGTGTGTGTGTGTGTGTGTGTGTGTGTGTGAGAGAGAGAGAGAGAGAGAGAGAGAGAGAGAGAAGGAATGACCTTGGACATGCAGTCCATCTCAGCTGGCCACTTTCTGGAGGGAAATGGGAGGACTTGAAGCTCTTCCTGCCAGGACCAGAGAGCCGTGGAGCTGCTGCTCAACACCCAGGGACTTCCCACTGCCAGCACAGGGCACGGGGCCCAGGGCACGGAGTCTCTCAGCTTAACCCAGCAGGCATCCTTGCCCTTTCTGTAAATGTTGACCCTGCCGTTGGTGGCTCGATGGAGATGCAGGAGACCCAAGTGGCCCCCTGAGCACAAGGTCCACCTGGGACCCTCTTCCGGGTCTGCAAGGATCTCCTTGCCCTTGGCATTGCCACCTCGGCTTGGCTAGATCAGATTGCTCAAGGGCCCGGCCTGCACCAATGGGAAGACAAAAAGCAGGAGAGGGAGCTCTAAGGGAGGAGGGGGCTCCCCATCCTGCTTGTTGGGGAGCTTCTTCATCACCTCGTCTCTCTGCTCTGAACTTCAGCTTCTTTATGACTGGCTATCTCCCTCTGGGATTTGAGTTTGCCGTGGAGCTCACGTACCCAGAGTCAGAAGGCATGTCATCCGGCCTCCTCAACGTGTCCGCACAGGTACAGCTCTCACCTCGTCTTGTTCCCTGCCTGGCTGGGCTGGCATTGCATCGTGGCGGCCCTGTCCTCCTGTGGGCCGGCTGCCTGGGGCCTTGTCTCCAGTCTTCCTTTGGTCCCTCCAGGTATTTGGGATCATCTTCACCATCTCCCAGGGCCAGATAATTGACAACTTTGGGACCATGCCTGGAAACATCTTTCTGTGCGTGTTCCTTGGCCTCGGCGCAGCCCTCACTGGTGAGTTGGGGCATGAGGGCAGAGGAGGCACGGACTGCTTATGGGCAAGGCTGTTGGCAGTTTGGGACCCCAGAGATGGGAAGTGCACATGCAGGGGGCACATGGGAGGGCGTGTTGGGCCATCTCGTTGGGAGGCAATGACATGTTTTGGTAGAACAAGCATGGGCTGTGGATCCAGAAGACTCCTGCTTGAATCACAGACTGTGACACTGACTTCTGTGGCCACTGACCTTGGGCAAGTGGACTCATCTCTGGGAACCTCAGTTTCCTAATCTGCCAAGTGAGAACTGTTGTGATGGCTAGTGACATGCGTGCAGCCCCTGGTAACTGTAAGTGACCCATCAGTGAAGGCCAGAGTCATGACTGGCTTCTGCCTCTGGGGACATCAGGGACCCCTGGGCATGCTTGAGTTAGCTGATGGTGTCCCCGGCTGCCTTCAATATCTGAAGTAGGTTAGGGATAGCTGTGACCCATAGGCCACTGAAGGTTCCCTCTCCTGGATGAACTTGACCATTGATCTGCTTGGTGACTGTGTCTCTGCCACTCTTCTCTCTTGATCTCAGCGTTCATTAGGGCGGATCTCCGGAGGCAGAAGGCAAACAAAGAAACTCCTGAGACTGTGAGTACACTGGAGCTTGGTGGGGCTGAAATTTGGGTCCTTGGCGTTTGGTGAGGATGTGGCCACACAGATGGAGCCAGGAGATGCTCTCGGAGGGAGTGGTTTGTGGTGGCTTTGAGGCCAGCTCGCTTCTCACAAACACAGCATGCAAAGGTTTCTTTGGTGTTCCTGCACTGCTTTCCTGCTACTCTTGCCCAGGCTCTTCGCCCACTTCCTGTCCTCTTTGTGACTCCTCTGTCCTGGTCCCCAGGGCGTGTGACTGTTGTCAGACTCTGCTGAGCAGTGTCTTCCCCTTGGGTCCTCAGCCAAACCCTGTGGCCCTGGTTCTACTGCTGGCAGCCTGGGGTCAATTGCCGGGGAGGGAAGATAGGAGGCTGCTTGACCTCCTTGACATGGTAGCCTTAAGACAGTGGCTCTCCTTAGGCAGGGCCATGGGGTGGAACCAACAGGTTGTCAGTGGGGCTCTCAAAGGACACGTCAAGAATCAGGAGCTGATGGTGACAGGAGAGGAGCCAGCCAGGAGAAGGATCTAGAATAGAAAAGTACAGACCCACTTTAGCCAAAATGATGTCAAATCTGGGCAAGGATAAAAAATCACAAATATGACAACAGCAAGAATGGGATAATACTTTAAAAGAACAAAAATAGCAAACATATTATAGTGGTAATATATGTTCTTCGTAGAAAAGCTAAAAAATAAAACATAGTAAATATACAAACATTTAAAATTCACCCAGTAATTCCATCATCTAGAGATGAAATGAGATGCTCTTAATTTTTTTTGCATTTATTTTTGTATCCAAATATGTGTGTGTTTCCTTTTTTGAGACAATGGGATCTGTTCTGTTTGCTTCTGTTGCAAACATGTTATCAGGCAGCTGCTCTGACAGCACACTTTTACTGGCTCCAGTGTCCCATTATATAGATAAACTATTATTTAATAGTTTTGTTGGTGGACATTAGGTGGTTTTGAATTGTCGTTATAGATAATATTGTGATTCACATGTTGGAAGCTGAATTTTAGTGACTGTTCTTCAGTGGACGCATTTTTTTTGAGAACTGGATCAATGGTCGTGCACATTTCTAAGCCCTGTATGTGTTACTAAACCACCCTCTAGAAAGGTGCTGCCAATAAGGTTATAGCATTGTGTAAGAGCGCCAACATTGACTGTTTCATTTTGAAAATCTTGGCCAGTTTTCCAAAACAAAAATAGTTTTCTGCAGCAGAGGTTTTTAGCATTTACGTCTACTAAGATCGTCATCTTCAGTCCTTTACCATTGTCTTCTGATACCACGGCAGGCAGCAGCAGGTACATGTGGAAGGAGGAGCCTAGAACAGCAGACTTGCTAGGCAGACAGGGAAGGCCTTCCAGCAGGAACAGTGTTCTCTAGACCTGCATGGCAACCCAGGGCCACCGTGGATGCAGGCTTGGACCTGTGCTGATTTGGCACACGCTGGTCAATGTGCAGATGAAACAGCCTGGGGAGAGTGTCTGTTATAAAGGGGGATGTGATGCCCTGTGTCAGGTGACGTGAGGTTCTGCTGTGTTTACTTTATGATCTGTGTTTATGCTGGCAGATTTAGGCAAACAAGGAGGAAACAGAAGTCACCTAAATCCTTCATCCTAGGGATCACCAAGAAGCATTCTAGTCCATTTGCTAGTGTTGAGGTCTATAGGTTTGCTTGTTTATATTTTCATTTTCTACCCTTCCCTCTATATTGTTTTTTTATAGTCTTTATATTAATTCCCACAAATAGAACAGGTGATATTTGTCTTTCTGGATCTAGCTTATTTCACTTAGCATAATGATCTCTAGTTGCATCCATTTTTTGCAGATGTCAGTATTTCATTCTTTGTTATGGCTGAGTAATATTCTATTGTGTATATATACACCACATTTTCTTTATCTGATCATCAGTTGATGGCTATATTGTTTACTAAATATAGCCTGACAACTTTTCCGCACTGTTAACATTCTACCAGAACCTCATGTCTACAAAATTCCATCTTGCTTAATATTTTGGCGTAATCTTTTATGATTCTTGTAGCCAGACGCTTGTGTAAAGGGAACATTTGTCTGTGAGCTTGTAGTTGTTGGTTCAATCTCCTTGGACAGGAGGAGCTGGAAATTAAAAGTGAACAGCAACTGGAGACTTAAGTTCTGTCAATGGCGTTCAACTGTCCTGTGTCCCTGGATAACTCACTCTGTCACTGGGCCTACTGCCAGCTGTGGCAACTTGGCTTCACGGGGTGGTCAGGGTCTTGCTGGGGCTGATGCAGAGCAGCCCTCCTGCAGACACCTGTCGTTACACATCCCAGAAAAGCACTCAGTGTAACTCAAGAGACCTGCTGACAAGTTCATTGTCAGAGCCAGGTGAAGACAGGGCATGCAGCAGACCTGAGATGTACAGTTTAGGTGAAAAGAGATCAAACTTCTGGGACAAGGGTGATGACCCACGTTGACTCTGAAAAGGATTTTGATTCGGGCTTTTCATTCTCTTCCATCACATGGGCGATTTAGCTGTGCTTCTGCCCCTACTAACCTCTGTTTCTGATAATGATTTCATGCTGATGGCTTTGCAGGAGGCAGGCCTGTGTGTGTGTGTGTGTGTGTGTGTTGTCAAGCAGATGGGAGAGACTGACTGACTGACTTAAATAGGCTGTTGGTAGCCTGAATGAAGGCTCCTCATGGTTGAGGCTGAACTGGTGCCAAAAAGTTGGCAAGGCAAAGAGTGGGAAAGTTAGGTTTCCACAGCTGTTGCTATTGCCTTGGCCCAGCCCTGCAACCCTCCTTGGGAAGGAAAGCACTGGGGGTGTGACTGACACTGGATGCAGCCTGGTTTTGCACATGCTCCTCCAGGCCTTGAGTGCTGTTGGCCGTGCAGCGCTGAGCCTGTGCCCAAGGCCTGCTTGCTAATTAGGAGTCCGCTGGAGGTAAGAGGCAAAGCACTTGTTAAAACTGTAGCCTTACAGGGGCGCAGTTGGAGAGCAGGAATAACTTGTAATGCTCTGTGGCACAGTAGGATAACTGTGATTGACGACAATTTATCAGCTATTTCAAAATAGGTGCTGGAGAGGATTTTGAATGTTCCCAACACAAAGAAATGATAGTGATGACAGTTACCCTGACTCATTGCATACATGCATTGAAATGTCACACTGTACCCCATATATAACACTATGTAATTACTGTATGTCAATCATACAATTACTGTGTGACAATTACACATTCACTATGTGTTCATTAAAATGTATACATTTTAAAAAACCCAAAGAGTAGATAAATGTCCAAGTTGGCAGTGTGTACCTTGAGGCCCATAGGTTTAGGTCCAGACCATATTTAACTCCCAGCCCATGTAACAAGTGTGACCCAGGAGAATCTGTGCCATCCTCCATTGAGAAATTCAGGGCCAACCTGCTCTGAAATCTCCTCTTCTGTGTAGAATATACGTGCACACATAGGCACTGAGTCGACAGACCCAGCTGTGCTGGCTGCCTGTGATCCAGCCTCTTTGGGGCCTCCTTGCATGTGCATTATAACATTCTTTATCCCAGGGCTTCCCCCAAAAGGGGGGAATGGGAAGCACCAAGGTATCACAGCCCTGGCACTTTGGACAGCTGTCGATGGGTAGTCAAGGCACGTGTCTGCTGTCAGAATGGGGAGGGACAGTGGGCTTGCTTCTGGACCCGTGGCACTCGGGGTGGGGGGCTGTGGTAGCCCTGGCAACACAGAATGCTGGCCTTTCCGCCTCTGGTGAGGCCGTGTCACTGGGGGTGCATGTGTTTGGGGAGTGCATCAGGCAGGGGCTGGTTCTTTCTTGTGGCCTCTGTTTACTCTGAGGGGTGCTCAGTAGCCTCTGGCTCTTGTGTGCACACTGATTAGAGCTGTGGGCAGGCAGCTGCCCCAGCCTGGGTGGAGCCCTGGGCCTTTGACCCACCGGGCTGCCCCTTGCCCTGCCTTGCAGAAGCTGCCAGAGGAGGAGGAGGAGAGCAACACCAGCAAGGCGCCCACTGCTGTGTCCGATGATCATCTCTGAGAGAAGAAGGTGGTGGCAACTCAGGGAGCCCAGCAAACAGCCACCTCTTTCAGAACAGCTCTCACTGCCAGCACAGAGGTCTTTGCTGGAGAAGCCTTGGGAGGGAACCGGCTGGAATGTCTGTGGATTGCATGGCCGTGCCTCCTGGAACCCGCTCAAGAGCTCGCGCGGTTTACCCGGGGCCTTTCATGAGATGCAGTCCACTTGCTCCCTGCCCCCTTTTAGGTCATGGGAGCTGGTGCTGGGGCAGGCTGGAGGAGGACATACAGCAGATCCTACCTCAGCTCCTCGCCTTCCCTTTCTAACTCCATGCTTGCAGAATTATCACAGGAAGAAAGCTTATTCAGGATTTTCACTTTTTCTAGTCTCCCAAGACGCCCAGGCAAAGCTGACCCCTGAGGAGCTGTAAGGCAAGCTGCCGTGCCCAAGGGCCCTTCCAGGGTCAGCAGCCTGCCTAATGCTGGGGTCTGTTTCCAGGTCCTCTTAAAGCTGATTGAACCAAACGTCAATAAACTGGACACAAACATTGTGTGGCCACTGAGGATTAGCTGAGGTGGGAGGGCCCACTTCTCAGTGTGTCTGGGAGCTCTGGTGGCTTGCCTTGGGGATGGGAGGGCTTCTTCTACACAAGTCCATGGCCAGGGACTTCTGTGTCACTGTCACTGTCACCTCTGATGGATGCCTTCCTCTGGAGGCTGCAGTGAGAAACACTGCCATGGGCCTGCGAGGGCCAGCCCAGCCACCTTAACCCGCATCTTTCCTGAAAGTCAGTCCTGATTCATGGCTCCTCCCCCAAGTCCAAGTTTAGTCCTGAGAACTGTGAAGGGAGGGGCAGAAGAAAGGGGCCCCAGCAGGAACTGAGTTTGCTGGACTCCAGCCTTACTCACCTCTGCTGGGGTCAGGATTTGCATACACACCCCCTGCTGGCAGTAATGTTTTGTTTATCAGTCTCAGGCAGGGGTGGGGAACCCTTTTTCTGTGGTGAGCCTTGCAGGCCCTACAGAATTACCAGCTTACAAATTAGCCTGCTATAGATGGAATGAATTTTGAGTCTCACCTGCCGTTGCCTTGGCAGGGCCAGACCAGATGATATGTGGGGTGGACATTCCCTACTGTTGCTGTTGATTTCTCAACAATGTTGCAGTGGATTCGTTTCTGAGAGGAGCAGCCTGGTGGGAGCAAGAGGCGCGGAGTCACCACACAGACCCCGAGAGTCGGGTGAAACCAACACCCTACCGCTCGCGAACTGTGAAGGGAGTCCTCTCAGCCAGTGTGGGCCAGCCTCCTTTCGGGCCTGGGCTACTGTCAAGGCTTTTCTCACGTGCCTCCTGAATAAGAGAAATGTCCGCAGTTCTGTGTCTCACGCAGCTGGGATCTTGACCACTGTGCTGTTTTGCCTCGGCCGCTCCCCTGGCCTCAGCAAATCAGAGCGGCCTGTGCTGGCTGCAGTGCTGGGGTGCTTGGACCCATCTCCCGCAGGGAGCCGTGTGTGTGTGTGTGTGTGTGTGTGTGTGAGCGTGCACACACATGCATGTGCACAGGTGCACGTGTGGGTGACTGTAATGAAAGTTCACACTGTTGGTGGAGGGAGTGTTCTGGGTGGGAGACACGTGCCTTACTTTTTCTTACTTTCTGATCAGGAGAAAAGTGTTTACTCTTCTACCCCTGGAGCTAATATTAACAAAGTGTTTACTGAATCTATTGCTTTATTTTAAAAATAAAATTTGTACTATTTGTACCACCAGATCTTTTAAGGCAATAAACGGTTTTCAAAGCGGTCTTCCTTGTCATTTGACGGTGTCCCCAAGATGACCACATATTTCGAGGGCTGTGTCTGAGGGGTGGGGAGGCCTGGAGGAGCAGTGAGGCAGCTCCCATGGGAGGACGTTGCCATCCTGGAGTGCGCCAAGGCTGCTGTCTCTCGGGTCCAGCCTGTGCCCCCAACCTCTTTCCGGCCTGTGTACAGGTCTGAACATGACTGCGAGGACAGCCCACTGCCGTTACCGGCCGTGCCTCACAAGGTGGCTGAAGTGTTTGTTCTGCGATCATCTCGCTCTGGCTGGAGTCCACAGATCTGTCCCCGTGTCTGTGGCTCCGTGCTATTTTTCTTCCCAACCGTCCTACTGACTGCCACTACCTTAGGCCGAGTTGTGTTAACCTTGGGCCTGTTGCTGTTTTCTGTACGTGACTTCCCTGGAGAGCTGCACTGGGGCCTGTAGGCTTCTGCCACCATAATTATTAGCAATTTTCAGTTGGGGAAAGACTCTTACAATTCTATTTTAACTCACCTGGGAGGGGACCCGGTAGTGTTTGAGGGGGCAGCTGTCCATTCTGGTGCGTTGTCCTTGAGGCTTAGCTGTCCCCTTTTCACGGCATGCAGCTGTTTTTTTCTCCCATGTCGTCCAGATCTACTTTCTATTTCTGCTTTCTTAAGAATTTGTTTCTTGGGGCTGGCACTGTGGCGCCTGTGACTCCAGTATCTCTTTTTGAGTACTGATTTGATCCCGGCTGCTGCACGTTTGACTCAGCTACCTTCTAATGCACCTGGGAAGGCAGTGGAAGACGGCCCCTGCCACCACATGGGAGACCCAGGTGTTGTTCCCTGCTCCTGACTATGGCCTGGCCCAGCCTGGGATGTTGCAATCATTTGGGGAGTGAACAGATCTTTCTATTTATCCCTGTCTTGCTTCCTTTCAAATAAACCTATTTTTTTTTTAAAGTTTTCTTTTCCTTTTTTTTTATTTTAGATTTTTATTTATTGATTTGAGAGGTAGAGTTACAGTGAGAGGGAGAGACAGAGAGAAAGGTCTTCCATCCACTGGTTTACTCCCCAAATGGCCGTAACAGCCAGAACTGCGCCGATCCAAAGCCAGGAGCCAGGAGCTTCTTCCGGGTCTCCCACGCGGGTGCAGGGGCCCAAAGACTTGGGCCATCTTCTTCTGCTTTCCCAGGCCATAACAGAGAGCTTGATGGGAAGAGGAGCAGCCGGGACTAGAACCGACGCCCATATAGGATGCCCTACTCCGCAGGCGGAGGATTAACCTACTGTGCCACAGCACAGGCCCCTTCAAGTTTTCTTTAGGAAGTAAACAAGAGTCTTGACTGTTCAGCTGGGAACTTGACTCGTACAGGTGGGTAAGAACACAAGACAGGGCCGGTGGTCAGCCTGGCAGTTCCGAGGTCAATGAAGACGCCTGCATCTCGGGGGAGGACCTGGGTTTCATGCCCCGCGCTGGCTCCTGACCTGCGCAGACTCTGCGGGGCAACAGTGACGGTTCATGGCTGTGACCTGGCTGAGTTCTTGCTCCCAGTTCTGGCCTCAGCCCAGTCCCAGCCACTGTGGGCAAGGAGTGGGGGTAGAGGGGAATGAACCAGAGGATAGAAGCTCCGTCTGTCTCTTAGAAACAGACGAACAGCAACAACGGGAGAAATGAGTAAGGACAGTAAGCAGCTGAAGGCTACCGCGTTTACTGGGAGCTGAGCGGCCCACTCATGGTGGGGCACACAATTAGGCACAAAGTTGTGCTGCTCCCACCCTAGGGCTCCGAGGGCAGGGGGCTCCTGCTTTAGGGGGAGGTCAAAGGACAAGGACTGATCGGAGCAGAGGGTTCCTCTATTTATTATAAAAGTTGTTACACAAATACAGCTGACCAGAAGGTCTAAAAATGGACAGGCTCTTCCAGCTCTCATGCGCTTGTGGCTCTAAGGAGAGCCAGGGTCCTGCTCTCACGCACAGGGGAGCCCTTCTCGGAAGAGCTGCCCGTCCCTCGAGTGGCTCAGAGTCACGCGTCCAGCAGCAGAGAGGAGGCTGACCTGCACGGTCGCCCCTCGAGGCAGCCCTTGGTCACAGCTGCTCTGGGCAGGCAGCAGCTTTAGGCTTCGCAGTTCATGTGTTCCCACCACACAAGACAAGGGATGAAAACCAAAGGCGAAGCGGCGGAGCAGGGAGCCTGGCGGGGCTGCAGGGGGAAGGACGCGCAGAGGGCTTCAGAGGTGCTGGCGACTTCTTGGCTCAGATGGAGTTAGGGTATCCACTCTAAAATTAGTGTTTAACCTCACGTACGTGTCATATACTTTTCTGTATGCCTGCTGTGAAAATTTCCAAAGTGTGCAACGGAAGCTGAAGAGGCCAGAGATGAAGGAGCCGAAAAGAAGTGAAAGAGTGGCGATGGACAGGACAGAGCGGAAGGCAGTGAAGTCCTGGAGGTGGCACCGCTGGCTTCAGTTTCTCTTCTTCTGTCTGGACACCGGCTCCACTTCCAGGTACCGGAGTCCAACGAGCATCCCCAGGATTGAGAAACCTGAAACAGAGAAAAGCACAGTGGCTGGTGTCAACAGGGCACCGTTCATCCATCCCTCGTCCGCGCGCTCCGTGCCGGCCCCAGGGCTGGATGCTCACTTGCCACCATCAGGGGTGCCAGGACGCCGATCGTGGGGGCCGCGGTTCCAAACACGAACAATTCAGACAGGAAGTGGCCCAGGGCGAGGAAGAAGGTCCACAGTGTGATGTGGTAGAGCCTGCAGGAGGCAGACAGGAAGTCACCCTGAGTTTGGCATGGCACGGGGCGGGGGGGAAGCATCGGTCAGTCCTGAGCTTCCCAGAGCATGGTGGTGGCTTAGGAAAATGGCCACGTGTCACTGGGAGAGACCCGGCTATTTGATCTATCAGCTGATTCTCATCTAGGGCTAAAGGACGGCTGACTGCTAAGTGGAGAGAAGGGTCCTGGCGCCCACTGCAGATCTTCAAGTTGTGCAGGGGGCAGACTCAGCTGTAGGCAAGCAAGAGCCTGGCTTACGGCAGTCGCAGGCAGACTCGCACAATGCTACAGTTCTACCGCTCCAGACTGCCTGGCTGGTCCCTGCCCAGGTGCCGGTTCATGTCTGCATGATGGATGCCACAAGATGAGTGGCATGAATGGGGACGAAGCAGCAAGGACACGGCTGGGGCTTCCAGAAGCTCCCGCAATACCAGCTGGGTATTTTGTGTCTGCCAGGAAAAGTGGCTGGGGAGGACTCAGTGACAGCCCCACGGGGAGTTTGCTCCTCAGCACTGGCTGTGACGTGGAGATGATGACAGCACGGATTCCTACATCTTTAACAATGAAACGGTGTATTATTTAAGATTGATTTATTTTATTGGAAAGTCTGAGCTAGAAAGAGAAAGGGAGAGACAGAGAGAAAGAGATCTTCCATAGGCTGGTTCACTCTCCAGATGGCTGCAATGGCCAGAGCTGGGCCGATCCAAAGCCAGGAGTCAGGAGCTTCTTCTGGATCTCCCATGTGCGTACAGGGGCCAAGGACTAGGTCATCTTACGCTGCTTTCCCAGGCCATTAGCAGCAACTTGGATTGGAAGTGGGACAGCCGGGACATGAACCAGGGTCCAAATGGGATGCCAGCATTGTAGACAGTGGCTTTATCTGCTATGCCACAATGCCGGCCCCAACAATGAAATTTTAGAAAGGTAGGAAATACTTCAAACACATGAAAAATTATAGATGACTCAAGTAAACACCGATATAACCAAATCTTAACATGCTGACATGTTGGTCAAGACACTTTTTTCTAGGAAAGGAAATCTACAGCTAACAGGCCATGCATCCTGTATATCCTCACCCCACCTGATCCTGTCCTCCCTCTACCCTCCTCAGAAGTCCACTTCATTTATATCATTTTGCAGCATGGTTTTATACATTTACTAACTATGTCTGCATGTGTGTTGGTTTTGATTTTCCAGTTAGGGAGGGGACAGGATCAGAGTGCACATCAGAAATTAATGGATCAAAGTCCTGGGCTGGGACGGGTTAGACACAGGAAGTCAGCGTTTGCACCTGTCCTGTGCTGGCAAGGGGATGCATGAATGGCTAACAGAAATAAGGGTAAGTCTGAGTTGTCTTCACTCACTCTCAAAGTCCAGGAAATAGAAAATGGATCCCTTGTACCTGTCAGCAGTTCTGTATCACGGTCAAGGTCTTTGAAATGATTATGGGGTGGGCGTATGGTGCAGTGGCTAAGCTGCCCTTGGGATGCCCACATTCCATCCTCGAGTTCCTGGGTTTGAGTCCTGGCGCTGCTCTCCATTCCAGCTTTCCGCTAACATGTACCGCGGGAGGCAGCAGGTGATAGATCAACTACTTGGTCCCTGCCACCCACAGGGAGACCTGCATTAAGTTCCTGGCTATGGCTACTGGCTTCTGGCTTCTGTCTGGCCCAGCCCTGGTTGTTGTGAGCATTTGGGGAGTGAACCCGCAGGTGGGAGATCTCTGTCTCTTCCTTTCTAAGTAAATAAGTAACTTTAAAAAATGATCACCCAGTCCTCGCTCCCTCTGTCACCCTGAGAGGTAGAAGAGATGTGCATTCCCATTTTCTGTGCGAGACCAAGTGCAGAGGCCAGCACAGACCGCTGCTGGGCAGCCGGGGCTGAGCACTGAGAGCAGAATCCTCTTTTTGTTTTCACCCCCGGCCCCAGGCTGTTCCACTAAACCATACTGCTTCCAAAAATACGTGTCAATCTAGGACAAGCAAACTACAGTTCCAAGTTAAAAAAAAAAAACAAAAAAAACTTTAAAGTTGGAGAAATCAGAGGGCTAATAGTCTTGCTGCAAATCCCACTGGAGTCAGTTCTCCTAAGCTTAAATTAATTGGGTTTCTAATATTTGTTTTTTAAAAATAGACTTTTCTATTTAAAAAATATATACTTATTTGAGAGACAGAAAGACACAGATAGGCAAAGAGAGAGAGAAAGAGAGAGAGAGAGAGCGCGCACACACACAAGGACCCCCACCCCCAAATGTCAGGCAACCCAATCCAGTCTCCTGCCTCAATGGCAGGAACACAACTACTTGAGCCATTGCCACTCCCTGCTGGTGTCTACTTCAGGAGGAAGCTGGAGGCAGGAGCCAGAGCCCAGAGCTGAACCCAGGGACGCTACTGTGGGATGTGGGACGAGGGACGTGGGCGTCCCAACCAAAGGCCAGCTTTAAGAGGCTTCAACATTTAGATCTGCGAAATCAGGAAGGAGAATCACTCCTCCGCAGGGATACTGGGAGGCACTTAATCAGGGTCCCGGCATAAAAGGAGCTCAGTAACTATCACGGCCCCTCCCTCCCCAGATCCAAGAGCCTGGATAAGGCAGAAAAGCCTTTCATTATGAAGCTGGCCTTCTGACAGCCTCACCCAGTGACCTGAGCGAACTATTTCCGCAGAGACTGCGCTGACTGCGGCCTGGAAGAAAGCTCGAGCCCCACCCAGTGGCCAGAATCAGTTACAGCATTCTGTAGACCGGTTATCTGTGACCACAGGCCACTGTTCCACGCTGGTCTGAGACCTGGGAGAGGTGGACCACAGGGGTCCCAGCTTCTCTTTCACCCTCAAGCAGCTGATTGTGCCTAGGCATACAACAGTTTACCGTGAGCTCCTCTTCTTCGGGATGGTGATTTCCGTTCATTCCTGCTTCTTAAGGAGGAACGTGAGAAAGGTATGTGTGGGCGGCTACCCTAAAGAGCACACATACCACCCTCCTTGGTAAAGAAGCACAGGGATATGATGCAGGCCACTGGATACTGCCACTGCCGCTGTGCTGGGTCAGTTCCAAAGAGTTTCCAGGCTAAATGAGAGCTGTTGGCCTATCATGTTTTTGAGGCTTGGATGGCCTCAAAAAGGCAAGTTTGGCCTTTTCTTATCTGCATTCCAGACAAATGTATTAAGCAGTGAATGAACTGGTCCTACTTAACAGTAGGGGGCAATGGCTGTGCCTAGCAGCTGATTTCCAACAAAAGGATGCCAGAGCTCCTTCCCTTACATACGTCTTGTTGTGGATGTCGATGGCACAGAGGCAGCGAATCACCGAGGACAGCAGCGTCCAGATGCCAAAGGTCCGAGCTTGCAGGCCGTTCACTGCGGGGCAAAAGCAAGCATGAATGTTGAGAAGGGAGGTGGTCGGCGGTCTTTCCAGACTCCTCCCACGGCGCCAGTCACTCACGGCAGCCAGGGAGCTGACCCTGACCTCCCTGCACAGGCTCTAGTGCCCCACTCGAGAACTGGGTGGAAGGAATGGAAGGAACGCCGGGCATGAGCACTGCTCAGGTGCCTTTCAGAGGAATTCCAAGTGTGAAGCCAACAAAGGGACCACTTAGGCAAGCCAGTCCTGGGTACAGCAGTTCATGCCTTTGGCTCCCAAGCAACCCAGAAAGTCTGCGTCAGGAGAGGCACAGGGGGACGCTGCCAAGATTGGTCTCTCAGTACAAGACTAGCAGGCTGGCGGACTTTCAAGGCTGATGCAGGACAGAACTTAGAGATACCAGCACCAACCTAGATCCGGCATGAAGTCTTTAAGATACCTAAGTTCATGGGTCTCTTCCTGCATCCAGATTTACGGGGTCTGAGCGAAGCCCAAACTAAACAGGTTTCCCATGTACTTGGCAGTGGGACAGAGCCCTGTGTCCTTGGTGTTTGCTGGCAGCTTTTGGTGGCTTCATTCTTTTTTTTTATTTTTTGACAGGCAGAGTGGACAGTGAGAGAGAGAGACAGAGAGAAAGGTCTTCCTTTTGCCGTTGGTTCACCCTCCAATGGCCGCTGTGGGCGGCCAGCGCACCGTGCTGATCTGATGGCAGGAGCCAGGTACTTATCCTGGTCCCCCATGGGGTGCAGGGCCCAAGCACTTGGGCCATCCTCCACTGCACTCCCTGGCCACAGCAGAGAGCTGGCCTGGAAGAGGGGCAACCGGGACAGAATCCGGTGCCCTGACCGGGACTAGAACCCGGTGTGCCGGCGCCGCAAGGCGGAAGATTAGCCTAGTGAGCTGCGGCGCCGGCCGGTGGCTTCATTCTGATGCCTCTGTGTAAAATATCTTATCCTAAAAGTATGGGTCATAGTCTACTATAATGCTGCTTCTTGAATCAACTGAGAGAGTTTTATAACATTACCACAGCCTGGGTGCCAGACCAATCACATCATACATTTGGGCATATATGTATTTTCTTATTTTCTTTTTTAAAGATTGATTTATTTGAAAGAGTTATTGAGAAGGAGAGGCAGAAAGAAAGAGAGAGCGAGAGAGCGAGAGAGCGAGAGAGCGAGAGAGAGAGAGAACAGACATTTTCCATTCGCTGGTTCACTCCCCAGTGGCTGCAATGGTCAGGGCTGGGCCAGGCTGAAGCCAGGAGCCAGGAGCTTTATCCAGGTTTCCCAAGTGGGTGCAAGAGCCCAAGGACTTGTGCCGTCTTCTGCGGCTTTTCTAGGTGCATCAGCAGGGAGCTGGATTGAAAATGGAGCAGCTGGGACTTGAATCAGTGCCCACACAGGATGCTGGTGCTACAGGCAGTGGCTTTACCCCATTCGCCACAGCACCAGCCCCATACAGTTATTTTCTAGAAACTTCCTGACTGGGTGATTCAAAGCGCAGCCACTGCGTACCTTCTTGGCCTTTTGGCTAGGACTGTGTGTAAGTACACAGACATTGGCCTGAGGCATCCAGTGACTTGGGGACGTAAAAATGGTAAAAGCAGGCCGGCGCCGCGGCTCACTAGGCTAATCCTCCGCCTAGCGGCGCCGGCACACCGGGTTCTAGTCCCGGTCGGGGCGCCGGATTCTGTCCCGGTTGCCCCTCTTCCAGGCCAGCCCTCTGCTGTGGCCAGGGAGTGCAGTGGAGGATGGCCCAGGTGCTTGGGCCCTGCACCCCATGGGAGACCAGGAAAAGCACCTGGCTCCTGGCTCCTGCCATTGGATCAGCGCGGTGCGCCGGCCGCAGCGCGCCGGCCGCGGCGGCCATTGGAGGGTGAACCAACGGCAAAGGAAGACCTTTCTCTCTGTCTCTCTCTCTCACTGTCCACTCTGCCTGTCGAAAAAAAAAAAAAAAAAAATTGAAATCAATGCCAGGATCTGGGCAAAGATGCCTCCTTTGCTGGTTTCTCTGCCGAGCAAGAGAAACGTCCAGGGATGTGACTGACACCTGGAAGGGCTACGCGTGTTTATGTGGGCTTGAAGGGCTTTCCAGCCTCGGGAACACCAGACACTCCACCAACTTCACAGCACTCAGACCTTCCGATGGTGGTGGGAAAAAATTCCACATGCCAAGCAAACACCTAGCACTAGCCCTGGATGGCTGCGACTTTCATACCCCAGCGTGATAGCTCCTCTGATGAGAAGAGGAAGGAAGTTTCTCTGGTTAGTGACACTGGCGTGGGGCACTTCATCTGCCCTAACCATGAATTCTATGGGACACTCCAGAGCACCGCGAGCATCAATCAGCAGGGCCCTGTGACAACCCCCAGATGAAAGGGAGGGGGCAGTCTCTCTCTCTCTCTCTCTCTCTCTCTCTCTCACACACACACACACACACACACACAGAGTTCTGCTCATCGACACGCACTTCAGCACGTCACATGACCCCCGGGCTTCTCTGTCGCACACTAAATGCGAGGGGCTGGACCAGCCAACCTGCAAACAGCCTGAGTCTACACGGGGTTCTGCAGCCAGGGGAGGGCAGCGTTTGGGGATGAGAACACGGAGTTGTCCTGCTTGCTCTTCCAGGCCTCTTACGCCTATTGTGAATGAACTTTGCTCAAGAGGAGCCTCAGCCTATTTCATTTCATTTCATGCTTAGATGTTATAGAAATCTGAGCTAGGTAGGCCGGCGCCGCGGCTCACTAGGCTAATCCTCCACCTAGCGGCGCTGGCACACTGGGTTCTAGTCCTGGTCGGGGTGCCGGATTCTGTCCCGGTTGCCCCTCTTCCAGGCCAGCCCTCTGCTGTGGCCAGGGAGTGCAGTGGAGGATGGCCCAGGTGCTTGAGCCCTGCACCCCATGGGAGACCAGGAAAAGCACCTGGCTCCTGGCTCCTGCCATCGGATCAGCGCGGTGCGCCGGCCACAGCGGCCATTGGAGGGTGAACCAACGGCAAAGGAAGACCTTTCTCTCTGTCTCTCTCTCTCACTGCTGTCCACTCTGCCTGTCAAAAAAAAAAAAAAAAAAAAAAAAAATCTGAGCTAGGTCAATGCCCGGATCTGGGTTAGCTATAAATGTCACACACTTGTCGGCTGCTATGAAACAGTGCCACGGCTCAAACTACTGCACCCACCAGTGCTGTGGAGTACAAGTGAGAACGCAAAAACACCGCCAGCAGACAGGCTCAGGGAGGCAGCAAAGGCCACTGGGAAATGCGGTTTCTTTCTGGGGGACCAGCTTGGAGGGATGTGGACTGTCTTCTTAGGGACGATGTCACGGTTTGGGGAGGACTCTGGTTAGTCTCTCTCCAGGTCACCTGGGAGGTACCCATGTGCCATGACGTCTCTCTCCAGGTCCCCTGGGAGGTACCCATGTGCCGTGACGTCTCCAGGTCACCTGGGAGGTACCCATGTGCTGTGACGTCTCTCTCCGGGTCACCTGGGAGGTACCCATGTGCTGTGACGTCTCTCTCCGGGTCACCTGGGAGGTACCCACGTGCCGTGACGTCACTCTCCGGGTCACCTGGGAGGTACCCACGTGCCGTGACGTCACTCTCCGGGTCACCTGGGAGGTACCCACGTGCCGTGACGTCTCTCTCCGGGTCACCTGGGAGGTACCCACGTGCCGTGACGTCTCTCTCCGGGTCACCTGGGAGGTACCCACGTGCCGTGACGTCTCTCTCCGGGTCACCTGGGAGGTACCCACGTGCCGTGACGTCTCTCTCCGGGTCACCTGGGAGGTACCCATGCACGTGTCATGACGTCTCTCTCCGGGTCACCTGGGAGGTACCCACGTGCCGTGACGTCTCTCTCCGGGTCACCTGGGAGGTACCCACGTGCCGTGACGTCTCTCTCCGGGTCACCTGGGAGGTACCCACGTGCCGTGACGTCTCTCTCCGGGTCACCTGGGAGGTACCCATGTGCTGTGACGTCTCTCTCCGGGTCACCTGGGAGGTACCCACGTGCCGTGACGTCTCTCCAGGTCACCTGGGAGGTACCCATGTGCCGTGACCTGAGTGCTGAAGAAAAGCTTTTCAGTGGGACATGTGGCCAGTCACCAATAACTCCATTCTCTCACCTACCTGTATGATGCTTTCTGTGTGCACTGCCTGCGCAGGGCACTGTGAAATGAGTCAACAGGTATTCAGAGAAGCTAGTGGAAAGGGGTCATGTGTCCTTGACGAAGCTGATCATTCCAGCGGCTGCCAAAGCCTAGATCAGGCAGCAAACAATCCCCTGAACATTCTCAGAGCCTGGGTTCCTGAGCTTCCCCCAGGTTCAGTAAATGTGAGGGTTCTTTAAAACACACACGGAAAATTAGACTTAAAAGACACATATATTTAGGTGCAAAAAAGGTGAAATTAGGTGAAATCCATGCATAGTGTTTCTGTAACATGGCTTTCCACGAACTGTGTCAAGTACCTAACATTATGGAGAATGAAACAGGTATCTGTGCTTTGAGTGCTCTAGGTTGTGTGAAGTACAGCCTGCATGGGGCTGTGCTGGGGTACACAGTGCATGGGGGCTGTGCTTGTGTAGAGAGTGCACGGGGGCTGTGCTAATGTACAGAGTGCATGGGGGCTGTGCCGGTGTACAGAGGGCATGTGGCTGTGCCGGTGTACAGAGTGCATGTGGCTGAGCCGGTGTACAGTGTGCATGGGGGCTGAGCCGGTGTACAGAGTGCACGGGGGCTGTGCTAATGTACAGAGTGCATGGGGGCTGTGCCGGTGTACAGAGGGCATGTGGCTGTGCCGGTGTACAGAGTGCATGTGGCTGAGCCGGTGTACAGTGTGCATGGGGGCTGAGCCGGTGTACAGAGTGCACGGGGGCTGTGCCGGTGTACAGAGTGCATGGGGACTGTGCTGGTGTACAGAGTACATGGGGCTGTGCCGGTGTACAGAGTACATGGGGGCTGTGACAGTGTATAGCCTGCTGGGGGCTATGCTGGCATACAGAGTGCACGGGGGCTGTGCCGGGGTACAGTGTGCACGGGGGCTGTGCTGGCGTACAGAGTGCATGGGGGCTGTGCTGGCGTAAGAGTGCATGGGGGCTGTGCCGGCGTACAGAGTACACGGGGGCTGTGCCGGGGTACAGTGTGCATGGGGGCTGTGCCGGGGTACAGTGTGCATGGGGGCTGTGCTGGTGTAAGAGTGCATGTGGCTGTGCCGGCGTACAGAGTGCACGGGGGCTGTGCCGGGGTACAGAGTGCACAGGGGTTGTGCTGGCGTAAGAGTGCATGGGGGCTGTGCCGGCGTACAGAGTTCATGGGGGCTGTGCTGCTATACAGTGTGCACGGGGGCTGTGCCGGCGTACAGAGTGCACGGGGGCTGTGCCGGCGTACAGAGTGCACGGGGGCTGTGCCGGGGTACAGTGTGCACGGGGGCTGTGCCGGTGTACAGAGTGCATGGGGGCTGTGCTGGCGTAAGAGTGCATGGGGGCTGTGCCGGGGTACAGAGTGCACGGGGGCTGTGCTGCTATACAGTGTACATGGGGACTGTGCCGGTGTACAGAGTGCATGTGGCTGTACTGAGGTGCAGAGTGCCTGGGGGCTGTTCCGGTGTACAGAGTGCCTTGGGGCTGTGCTGGTTAAAGCCTGCATGGGGAACCACACGAGGGCCGCTCCTAGGAAGGACATGGCTCTCTGGTTCTTACCGAGGTTCGGCTTGCCGGTGTAGAGCTTTTCATAGAGGAACGTGTGGTCCCGGAAGCTCTGCAGCGTGTTCCCCATGGCTATGATGGACACCATGACCAGCCAGCTCCGCAGCACGTTCAGGAATCGGCTCATGTTGCCCTCGGACCCGAGAGGGCGTCTGCCTTGGGAACAAGGACATGGGACACGAGAAGCCAAGGTCAGTCCATCTCTGCTCTGTGGCTACCTGCGGCCCGTTCACGAGAGCTGCACTAAACTTGGGCAATCACTGCGTGAGCTCCTCTCTAGATCCTCCAGGCTCATGCACCAGTTTTGTTTCTTTTTTTGGTTGAAGTCTAATTAATTTATTTTTACTTATTTGAAAGGCAGAGTGATAGAGCAAGAGCAAGCTATCTTTCATCCCTTAGTTCACTCCCCATAAGCCCAAACAGGCTGGAGCTGGGCCAGGTAGAAGGCAGGTACCAGGAACTCCATCCAGGTCTCCCTTGTGGGCGGCACGAGCCCAAGCAAGTACTTGCCTGGGAGGCTGTTGCCTCCCAGGGCTCACATTTGCAGGAAGTCAGACCAGAAGTGGAAGTAGGACTCAATCCTAGGCACACAGATATGTGACAGGGGTGTCCCAGATGACAGCTTAATCTGCGCCCCGACGTCCACCCCGCTCGGTTTTTTTTTTACACATTATTCTTACTTCCCAGGTTGGCATATTGCCTTTAATATTCACCTGAAGCCAGTGTGCTGACCTTTACTGAGGGTGACAACGACCGTGGGTGGAAGGGACAAACCCAGAGAGAAAAATGTGAAGAAAGGCAACAGAAGTAAAGACCTGTATATGTATTACTATAAAGTAACACAGGGGCCGGTGCTGTAGCGTAGCAGGTGAGCCCTCTGCCTGCAGTGCCGGCATCCCATATGGACGCTGGTTCAAGGCCCGGTTGATCCACTTCTGCTCCAGCTCACTGCTATGGCCTGGGAAAGCAGTAGAAGATGTCCATGTCCTTGACCCCTGCACCCACGTGGGAGACCTGGAAGAAGCTCCTGGCTCCTGGCTTTGGATCAGCATAGCTCTGGCTTGTTGCAGCCATCTGGGGAGTGAACCAGTGGATACAATACCTCTCTCTCTCTGTCTCTGCCTCTCTGTAACTCTGCCTTTCAAATTAAAAAAAAAAAAAAAGTAATACAATGGATTTTGGTGTAAGGCTTACAGAAATTGGCTGCAATGCTTGGTTACACTGATAACAGTCAGTGAACAGTATGGGGCTCTTCAAAAAGTTATGAAAATGTATATTATGATAAAGCTAAGCATGGATTTCAAAAATGTCTTGCACCAAAATAACCCAAAATTTATCTTTTAATTCCATTTTCCATGAACTTTTTGGAGTACATTTGTATAATCTGCAATAAGTGGAACAATACTTATCTTTAAGCAATTTCTTCAAATACTACCGTATATCAGAATTCCTTTCTCTTGGTTACAATCAGTCTTCCTCTCTCTTTACTTTTTTTTTTTTTTTTTTAAGATTTATTTATTTATTTGAAAGAGTTACACGGAGAGAGGAGAGGCAGCAAAAGAGAGGTCTTCCATCCAATGGTTGACTCCCCAGATGGCCACAACAGCCGGAGCTGCGCTGATCTGAAGGTGGGGCCAGGAGCTTCCTCTGGGTCTCCCATGCGGGTGCAGGGGCCCAAGGACTTGGCCACCTTCCACTGCTTTCCCAGGCCATAGCAGAGAGCTGGTTGGAAGAGGAGCAGCTGGGACTAGAACCGGAGCCTTTATGGGATGCGGGCGTGTCAGGCCAGGGTGTTAACCCACTGCGCCATAGCGCCGGCCCCTCTCTTTACTTTTTCATGTCAATGCTCTCCAAAGCCAGGGGCTCACAGGTGCCTGCCTGGTTCTTGATGACAGATCCTCCTAAACCTATGGAGTACAGATTTGCAGTGGAACGTACGGTGTGAGAGCACTATTTACACCCTTACTTTTTTTCTACCCTGTTCCTTAGGCACACATATTCCATAAACTAAAAGAACAATCCAAAAGATAAAAATAAATAACCTGCTGTGACTTTAAGAGAAGGAAGCAGCACTCTTGGTGAGGGCTGCAGGAACCTTGCCTTACTGGGCTTTGTGCCATGCACCCAACATGTGTTATACCATTTAGTATTTCCATTTTACAAACGAGGGTGGGACCAGAGTTAAAGGATTCGCTTAAAAATATTTGCATCAGGGCAGGCATTTGGTGCAGTGGGTAAGGTGCCTGCATCCTACACCGGAGGGCTTGGGTTGGAGCCCAGGCTCTGCTTCCCAGCTCAGCTTCCTGCTAACGCTCACCCTGGGAGGCAGCAGTTGGCCCTAGAACTTGGGTCCCTGCCACCCACGTGGGAGACTCTGATTAAGATCTGGCTCCTGGCTTCAGCTTGGTCCAGCCTCTGGGCTACTGTGTGCATTCGGGGTAGAGACCCAGTGGATGAAAGATCTGTCTGTCTGCCTTTGAAAGAAAATGAAAATAAACCTAAAAAATCAACATAGTATCAAAAATTTTTGCTCCAAATTAATCTTCTAATTTCATTTTTCATGAACCTTTTGAATTTCCCTCATACAGCTGCTATTCCAAAATTTCCCCCGACCTCGTCCAGGATAGCAGGAGCCCAGCCAGGGGCGTTCCTATCCTGCCCCGACCATTCGGTGCTGTGTGACTCAGTTTCCTCCTCTGCTGAATGGGGTTACAAACATCTACCTTCAGGGTGACGGTGAAGGCTCCTCGCACAGTACCAGCTCTCAGTGGCTGCTCATGCCCTCACCCACCCTTCGTTCCCCGAACCCACCACGCCCTCCCCATCTTCCGGGTTCCCCCTCGTCGTCGGCTCCCGAACCCTCTCCCCCACAAAAGAAAGCCTACTAGCGTCTTCCTTCTGTCCCACCTCCGTTTTTCCGGATTCTTCGGATCCTCCCAATCAGATGTCACACGGTCACCTGCACCCTCTTCTCTCCCACCGTCGCCTTACCTGGCAGCCGGACCCGGGCACAGCCGCAGCAGCAGCAAACCAGCTTCCCCAAGACAGCTCCAGCCCGGATTCCACCTGAGCCACTCGTCCCCGCCCCCGTCCCCAGCCTGGCTCTACGATTGGATCGTTCCTGTCAGTCCTCGCTCTGATTGGCGGAGCCGGCTTTGCTCGAGCAGGAGATAGGGAGTGAACCCCTCTACTGCCAATCAGCGGTTGCCGCTGCCTAAGCCTCTCCCCCTGGGGCACCGCTCACGCAGCAAACCCTCCTGTTGATAGTGGCGGAACTCCAGGTTTGGAGTCATCGTTTAAGGGGCGGAGGAGTGGGGGGA